GATCTGTCGCTTCTGACAAACTTCCAAAATAAACCCGTGGCGGGTGTTCAAACAGATGCCTGGTTTTGATATCGTGGTGCTTTTCCAATCTAGCGGCGTATTATTGTGAAGATGATCCTGCTTAAAACCGCGGGCTTCAGCACTCGTCTCCCGGTGGTTTGGGTTTATTTGTATGTGCGAGTGCTTTTGTCTACAGCCTTAAACCCATCTGTTTCGTAACCAGGACAAAAACTGCCGGGGCGTTTCAAAACAGCCATATTTAATCCTCAGCCCCGCTTCCCCCCCGATTTGCCGGGTCTGTTTGGAGAGGAGCCCGCTGGTCAGCAGGCTGGCGTGGGTCTGTCCCCCCTCCTTCTTCCCAGGGATCCACGCTGCTGTTTGGGTTGGATGCTCGCGGGCAATTGTCACCCTGTGAGTGTGAAACCGCTCTGGAGGCAGGGTTTGCAGGCAGACTGTAGGCAGCTCCCATCTTTCATTAAGCTGAACGGTATAATTAGAAGAAAGAGAAGCTTTTGAGCTGGCTGTTCCTTCATGAGGATGCTGCCTCAGTTTGTATTCGTGTCTGCAAAGCCGGAATATTGAGCTCCTGGGGGAGGGGGGATGGTGTGTGTGTCGGATTTCGTTAAATCTGTGTCTTATTACAGCAAGACGGGCGGGGAAAAATAACAGCAGAGCGTTTCTGCTCTGGAGTTAATCCGATTCTGCCCTCGCCACTGCCTGTCCGGCTCCACTGGGCTCGAGTTCAGGCCCTGAAGCCCTTCAGACATTTTGCAGGAAAATGCTAGGGAATGATTTCACTCTGCGCTGTTTGAGTCGCAGACAGAGCATGTGCTCACTTCAGCTGGGAGGCTGAGATGGTTGGGGTTTGGTTTTTTTAGTTGATGGTGCGTTGTTTTTTTTCTGGGAGTGAGTAAGAGACTTGCAGAGCTCCTGCTTTTCCCATCTGGACCCTGTTTTGAATTCGAGGTGGATTTTTTGTTGTTGTTGTTATTATTTTTCCTCATGTCTTAAAGGAAACTGGTTGTGACAAAGGAAAAAGAGAAGAAAGTGGGTCTGTACACCATCTACGTGAACCCAGCCAACACCTACCAGTTTGCTGTGGGAGGCAGAGATCAGTTTGTCAGGTGAGTCTGTGCTGGAGGCTCATTTGGTTCCCCCACGAGCTCTGAGATCTGATGTCCCCTGCAGAAACGCTTGTGGCTTGGCTCATTAGTGCCTCCGCAGCCTGTTCTCCCGTAAAGGCAGGATCACAAGGGAGATTAACAGAGGAGGATTTGGATCCTTTGAGGTTTAGCCCTGGGACCCACTGTCCAGCGGCCCCAGGAGATCCTTCCCTCAGGAATCAGCAGTGCTCTTAACGGGCTTCTGACAAACCTGCTCTCGGTCCCACGCTGCGGGCAGTGCCCAGTGG